GACATCTCTTATTCGAGCCCCTGGCAGGCAGCAAACCTCTCTGGACAAGAGATCAGGTCGGCAGATAGGTGCCTCTGTCCCCTGCAGTAGGGAGTCACCCACAACAATCACTCGCCGTTTCTTCCGGGGGTTCCTGCACGGCACAGGGTCTGCCAGGCCAGTTGCCTCCCTTGGAGTTTCGAGAGTCTCCTGCTGCAGCAGCAATGGGGAAAGCAGCTGCTCTATCTGGCAGGAGCTGTGCCTGCTCCCATACTGAGAAGAATTCCAAAGAAACATCCAGCCTCAGGTTTTATCCAGGCCCTTGACTGTGTCTAGATTTCTGGATGACAATAATCAGCAGTTGTATCATTTCCCATCCGTATTACATCACTTCTGAGCTGCTGTAGAAAGGGTACTGGCGAAGAGTTCAAGTCTGGGCTCCCTCCTGAATGCTCTGCGGTACCCTCAGGTAGTGCAGGCCAGCTGCCTTTACTTTTCTTACTGCAAATCTTGATACACTGGCTTCGTTCAATAAGAGCCCTCCAGTTAGCCACCGAGAAAAGCTGCTACAGCTTTAGGAGAGAATTACATTGAGTACCCTCTAAGAAGATACAAAACAAACTGCTTGCATGCTTCTCGTCACGCAGTCCTTTCAAAAGCAGCAGGCTCACTGGAGCCATACCACCGCAGTCACCAAACTCAAGCACTCAGGATGGGGACGTGCCCATTCAGAAAGGGGAATTCCTGCAGCCCCCACCAGGACCAACATCTAGGGAACGCTAGGGTAGGAGTCATGCTTAGACTTGATCTTTCTTTCACAAAGGTTGCATTTCTCAGTACCAATCCATTACAGTAGGAATTCGGAGATATCCATGCTTCACGTCTAACACAGAATAAGCTGCAAACAGCAATTAAGGGATTAACTATACCTTCAGGGCACAGTCTTATTTTGAGAACAGCGGCCAGGAGCTGCATGCTCCCGAAGGAGGGGAATGCTGGGAGGAATTCTCTAAACCCCAAATACGACGAAGTAAAACACTGTCATCCAAACAGAACTGGGCAGAATGGTAACATAATGGGGCAGCTGGGGAATAGGGCTATCCTGTGTACCTCCTACTGTCTGTGGAAGGACAACGTTTGCACAAGACCCTCATTCTGAATATGGGGAAGAGTAAGAATGCTCCCACCTGTTCCCAGAGCACCTGTAAAAATGTCTGTCCCATCTAGAACCACAGAACTTTTGATGCCCGTTTGCACAGAAATAAATAACTAAATGGATGTTTGAAAATGCCTTTAAATACTGTGCTCATTTTAACAGTTGTTGAACTGAACAGAAAAAAGTTAAGAACAGAAAAGATTGAATTCTTAACATCTTTTTACTGCTAGAGATGACTATAAATCATACAATGAACAAGTGTGCACCTGGGAGGGAATTCTGTTTTCACAACATGCAAAACTGATTAAGTGGTAGCACTTTTCCTGAACACATTTGCAAACCTCCTAGGGAAACACATTGTCTAATACTCTCAAACACTTCTTATTCCATCATTAACCACGAAGCATGCACAGAAATGAAGAAGGAAAACAACAAACAAAAAGAGTATCAATAAATCATAATCGATTGCAAAACCTATATAGACAAATGCAGACTTAAGTCTATCCTGACCTATTAAACTCTGCATGAAAAACATATGTCATGATTTGACTATGCTTCCGTGACTTTTTTTTTTTTCCTCCTTCTTTAAAGGGGGGATGAGAAGCAGGATTGCCATCAGAAACTTCAAAATAAACACAAAAATACAACATTTTTATCCACTATTGTCTGGGCCACTTAAAAAGAAGGTGGAGCTGGTTATTTTCCCTTCTTAAGTAGAATCTTGTAAATTCCACTTGGGAGTACAGTAAATTTGCTTGCAATTTTGGGTGACCCTTCCTATACTGCAATTAGGGAAGAGGTGCAAGAAAAAAAAAAAATCAAGTTATGCCTTCCATCTCATGAACCATCAGCACCCATGCTGAAAGACACTCTTTTGATGCATCTAAACCAGGTCGGAGTTAACAGAGACATAAAGCAGGCAGAGCACATACACTTTCTGGGTACACTTCTGTTCCATCAGAGTAGGACTAAGCTCCAGTTTAGTCCTGTGCAATCCTCAATGCACATTACTCGGTGGGACTTTACCCACATCAAACTGCTCTCAAGACAGAACAGTCCATGTCACATGCTGAAGGATTAAGATTCCTGTCAGACATAGCTCCAGTATGTTTGACAGTTAATTGCTTTCACACGGTGCAACTCGAGTCAGACCACCTAACTTTCAAATGCTCAGGCTGGAATTTGATGTTAACTAAAGGAATTTGATGATAGTTAAAGGTCTGTTCAATTTTCGGATAGCCTTGTGAACTGAATAAACTCTTGTTCCCACTATCTCATTTTCACATTTTAAAGTATTACCAGCTTTACCTTGCTTACCCTGGAGGGTTCAGTAAAGCATCCAGTGGCTTACACAGGAAGGACAGACTCTAAAATATCTGCAAAACGTAGTATTCTGTAAAAATAAAAGCTTAGTGTTTACAGGCAACAAAAAGGTCTTCATTTTCTACAGGATTCCACAGCTGCCAAGATGTCTTGCAAAACGCCATTTCTATTTTCCTTATTAACCTAGAGAAAGAGAAATTAAAACTGATGTGATTTGATAAATAAACCCCCATATCATGGCTTACTTCAAAACAAACAAAGCAGAGAGTCAAATGCATTTCTTTCTCAGTGGAGGACCCTGGAGCTTCAAACACCTGCCTTCTCCTGTTACTGAGAACACAATAAGCTAAATCTAGAAACCTGCATACGTAATTGAATATTCAGTGATCTTTTTGATTTCATCACCCATGGTATTTCATAGTATTATTCAATGCTTGCATAACTAACAAAAATCACTCGAAGAACCACCATGTACTTTCATCATTACTAAAATCCTTTTGAATTAACAAATATCATTTTCTATTACAGAGGAATTCTTATTGCCTTCAGTACTTGAAAGGATTATATTTATTAGCATGACGTATCTAGTCAAACACACCTTCAGTGAAAAATTCAATGCTTGACAATGCAACTGTGTATTCCAAGAAATCTTATCATCACAGGAGAAGCATATCTTGAAAGAAAAATAAGACTACTTGAAACAGCTGGGGGGGCTTTTGTAGTATAGTGTGGCGTGCCTTTAGTTAACAGTCTATGGAAATGCTGGGCTTTAACACCACTACGTGTAAAAATCCAGACAGCCCAGTGTCCTGCCTTTAGCCAGGCCCATCTGCATTGCAGCACCTGCAGATTACTGTAAAATGCCAAGCTAGGCTAGCGAGCTCAGCTCCTGGGTGCAGCAGCAACACAGCACAGAGATGGAGCGGGGGGAGAGGATTACTCCCCTTCATCGGGGACTGGATCTGCTGCAGGGCCCACAGTACTGTGCGCCTGACCGCAGCATTCTTAACTCAACCAAAGCCTAGAGACAGGGGCTGGCACGGTGAAAGGGTTAAAAGGCAGTTGTGAAGCGTCAGCAAAGGCTTCATTTAGGAAGCTTCAGAAATTCTCCCCACTGCTCAAATCCCTGCAGAGAGGGCAGGAAGGAGCCACACAAAGAAGATAGGAGCCGGAAAAAAAAAAAAAAGTAAGGGTGCTCATATTTTTGGCAAAGTTTGAGAAATGCTGCTTGAAGAGGAAGGAGATGAGACAACACGGTATGCACAGGATAAAACTTTCCACCAGGAAGGTTTCACTGCGTCCCCTGTAGCTGCATTTAAAATCTCAGCACACGGATTTGTTTCCCTTCCAGTACTACAGTTAACACTCAACCAGAGAAAGTCTTCATTTTTCAATTGTAAACAAATTAGTGACAGTCCTACCTAAGGAATTTGGCCCTAGGCACCTATTGCTACTTACAGTCACAGACATCCTATCCAAATCCTGGAAACCAACACTGTAAACCTGAAGAGACTCATGTCTGTATCACTTGAATTCAAGAGAGCACAGCAACATGGGAGTGCCAAAAAGGTGACATGAAAAACGCTACGGGGGAAGGAGGGAGAAGTTCTGCCTGAAAGGGTCACTGTTTTTACTGAGTAGCGTTCCAAGACCATTATAAGATAAACAGAAAAATCTGCAATAACAAAGACCAAGACAATAAAAGATAGAATTGCTCTTCAGGAAAGCTGTTGTAGGACTCCCAAGATACAGAAGGCATAAAGGAGCCAAACGCTAAATCTTACAGCAAGTGCCCTGATATCCTGAATTTCAAAGGACCTTCTGAGCATTTAATAGCTTTTCCCACTGTCTCACAGCCAACAAAAGCAATATTACATTCTATCTGTCCCTCTTCCACACCTACGTGCCAGAAGTCCAGAGAGAGCATCAGAGAGAAGGTGCCCACCGCTGGGAATTTTTCACAACTTCTTTCCAAGGCTGCTTGATAGACAGCAGTCTCCTCTTAAGCAATGAGGACATTGTGTGCAGGCAGCCTTCTCAGACAGAACAAACCTACCAATAACTGCCCTGAATATACAAACAGATGGGTAGATTTTTAGCTGGTGAGCTGGAAATATCTGTAGATGCTGCTTTTACTAAGCGTTTAGATAATCTAGAGGGAAGTACCACCAAGACTCCAGACAGGCAAGAGTAGAGAACAAAAGTTATTTTCCCCTCAAAGCCTCAAGCACTTTCAAATAAAAAAAACACTTGCAGTCTGTTCAACTAGAACCTTTTCTTCTTTGGAAGAAGAAAGAGGGGAAAGAATTGGAAGAATAAATCCATATTTCCCGACACTTATCAAAATAAGCTGACACAGCTGCATCAACAACATCTCAAGCATTTGACCTTAATGATTTTCTGTCTAAGACCTCCTGTTTTACGAGATTCAATACCGATAGGACTTGAATAATTACCAGATGCCACAAAACCAAATAGTAGGTAAGTATACCAAAAAAATGAAGCCAAAAAACAATGTTTTGCTCCAAGACAGATAAAACCGTGAAAGACGGAAAGAACTTTGGTAGGTAGGGATTCCACAAAAGGTCATCTTTCAGAGAGAGTAGTCCATAGGTCACATGTACCTCTGTCCAGGATAGATATCCTTTCTGTTACATTCAATTTGTATTTTACTGTAAGAACATGTGTCATGGACAATATGACACAAGCAGAAGTGAAGGTCCCTGAGTGTCACTGCAAGAGAGTGAACTGCTTGTGACAGAAGAGGCACCATTTTGTGCCCAGCACTAGATTCTGGTTCCTGCTCAGTATGACACCAGCTGTCGGGCATCAACTTTCTACTGCCCTGTAATGGAGGGCATCCCTCTATCCTACAGTAAGATCTGCCAGGATTGTGATGCATTTAATTGCTTATTTTCTTTCTTAAAAAGCACACACAAGCAAACTTCACCGATGGGTTTCATGGAAGCAAAACTAATAGATGGAAACATGGGAGAAAATGAATAAGTGCCAGCTGCTAAGGATAATCTGAGCCTATTTAAGACACCACATCTGCAAAACTACACAGACCCAGGCAGTGCAAAAAGAGCCCTCGCACTTTTACTGAAATGTTTCGTTCTCAGCAAAATGAAACTGGGCAACGATGGAAAAAGTGTGTTAAAAATCAGAGTTCCTATCGTTAAGTGCTCTAAAGGTAATAAATTAAACATTTGGGAGCAAATCCTCAACTGCTTTTAGGCCATCTGGGCCCATTTATACCAACTGAATATACTTTCAAGACAGAAGGGACTGTAAAACCCGAAACAGCTGTCTCTGTGCACTTAGCATCAAACATCAGAACTGCTCTTGTGACACTAACAGAAGGATCAGAGAATTCTGCTAAGTTACTTGACTGCAACTTAATTCCATAGTAAGCGACAAAGCAGGCAGAACTTTTTTGGAATGTGGCTGTTACCTCTGCATGCTTCCAGGCATCATAAAAGTTGGCAAGAAATGACTAATCATGAACTATTTAAGCACTCCACGTTCTCCCCATGCCACAGCCGTGCAAGAACATAGGTAGTGATGCAGTATTTACTTCAGCCACTTTACAGCAGCCTCTACAGACACTTCAGCACATCTGACTCCCTGAAGGCCACTTCTATTCCTACTCATGCACACGTTTTAACTAGCTGGGAAAGAGCACATAGTGTCACAGGAGCAGGCGAGACAGATGCTCTCCTATACAACGCTTCAGCAGAGCGGGTCTCTGCCACCTGGGAATTACTGCAATCTGTCACACATTTCACACCCATGCTTTCGGCTAAAGGACTCGGAGAACTCTCTATAGCTAAACAAAGAAATATCCTAATCTCCGCAGCAGAGATAATATAGCTCACTTTTTAGCAAAGTGAGCTAGAGCAGCCTGCAACCACTGCCGCAGTGAAATCAACAGAAAGACTTCAGCTGGCTGTTGTTTGTATTTAAGAAACAGGTATTGGCAGCCTGACACACCTATCACCCGAGGGTTGAGCAGCACATGACCTCAGAACATCATATGATGTGAAGTGATCGCGGCAGCCTCAGAAGCTCTCTTGATAAGCCAAACGCTCTTTTCTAGTGCTCCCTGAGGGACCCAAGGGGACCAAACGCACACTATTGCCTTGCCATGAGTGCATCCTAAGCACCAAGCCACAGTGTTGCTTTCAGTGAGGCATTCTCCATTCCCTCTCCCCCAGCTGTACCGCTGTTAAGCGAGTCATACAAAATTCACATCCACATGCATGTCCTGTTCAGTAGCCTGACAGCTAACACAGATCAGCTCGGAGACTGGAAAAGTGGGTTTTAATCTCTGAAGGAAAAGGTGCGAGTCGAACGTATACACAGGGGAAGCGATCTTCTCTCGAGATTGCTTCAGCACTTAGTTGAACAGACACTGAATTTAAAAAACAGAATAAGACAATGATGAGGCCACTGACTAAAGGGAAGCTGAATGGGTTTTTCTGAGGACCGCAGTTTTGCAAATCTCACTTTGAAAAGAAAAAAAAAAGTAGGAGACTGCTTTGTCTGCAGTAAATAAGACCATTCAGTATAAAACTGTTGAGAGATTGTCTTTTCCTTCCTTGTTCACTTGGATCACAACAAAGTAGGCATTCTCACTATGACCTGCTTCAGCTAAAGAGCAGGCTGCAACAGTACACTGCTTTAAAGCATATTACCCGTACTAATAAGCCAGGATGTGCAACTCCCTCTTACTGCATATGTAGTTTACAGAGACGCAAAATTCAGTTTGGGATATACAGCTTTGTTCTCTACTAGAAATAGTAGACACTGAGCAGAAAAATAAACTAAAGGGATGTGAGCAATATTTAGCCTGTTTTTGTAAAGCTTCCAGGACACTTACAGATATTGAGCAAATCTAAAGCTTGTACTGCTGTGAACAAGCTATGTTTTGTTGGGGCGAGGTTTTGAGAACTTCTCTCTAGATGATCAGAAACGCACTTTGAGGCTCTAATATTCTGAAAACTATGTCTGTAAAAATAACATAATAAATTGCAAAATTGGTTCAGTGACTCCAGAGAAAGCACACTCCATTTACAAGTGTCTTTCTTCCAGTAATCGTTCCTGCAAACTCTATTGCTGCCTTTTTTTCCCCTCTTGCATATGATTACTAGTAATATTTCTGCAAGCCAGTCAGCCCAAAAATCTGACTGTACTTTAAAAGATTTAACTCTCTGGAATAATGAATACTTATGTGGCAATAATACCACAGCAAGAAAAACTTTAAAAACAACCGTATCATTACTTCTACAGCCCCTCACAAGCAAAGCCAGCTGTGTAAAACTGCTACAGTAAATGCCAACTGTGATTTTTTTTTTTTTTTAGTAAGCTGAACACCTGTCCATTAAGAACTGGATGGAAACTACAAAATTATAATTTAATACGAGCTACCCACAGCTATCCAGTGGTAACAACAATTAGTTTTTAAACAGAGCCAAATACAAACCAGCAACCTAGAACAGAAGGCTCTTTAAGGATATTTAATACTACTTACATTGAACACTTTAACATCTTTTCTACTTCTTATTTCTTCAACAAGATCCAGTGGCTTTCCCTTAGGTATTGGAATAGTTCCAAGTATCACAGTCCCTGAACCAGTCAGCGTTTGACGAACAGCTTGAATAAAAGACTGGCTGAAGAGTTCCATTTTACCAATCTCATCTATGACGCAAATTTTTTTCTCTGCATCACTGCTAAGATTTACCTGTGGAAAAGTACATCAAAAAAACACTGAAGTTAGAAATTATTTCAGTTGTTTGTTCTATTCTAATAGGAAAAAAAAGATACTTCTGAAAGAAACCAATTCAACTGTAACACTGGGGGGACCGGCAGAGCCAAAACTGCTGTTGGTGACTGAAAGACTTCTAAACCTGCCAGTTCTATTTCAGCAAAGATTTTTAGAAAGATTAGGAATTTTATTGCATGTTGATACATGTGGAGATATTGTCCCATATATAAAGTTCATGCTTGAATTCAGCACAGCAAGTTATCTTCTCAGTATCAAATGGAAGCAGTCCTGATTGTGTTAGCCGAGCCCTAAAGCTGCAAACTAGGGTATGCGCTAACCCTTGCAAAAGCGAACAAACCCAGGCTGGTCCCAGGAACTTTAGCGCTGGCTCCACTACCTGCAGCATCATGACAAGGTTTCAAGAGGTCAAAGCAGTTTGTCCAAGGTAAAACAGCAAGTCAGTAGCCGAGGTGTAAACAGAGGAATGCTGACATTGCCATAAACAAGAACATACTCCTTCACGTTGTCCCTTCCTTTTCTGTCTCATCTACAGCTTTGGCTGTTGCCACAAAATTAACCTGAACATCAGATTTGCGACTGGAATTTTACAGCAAAGCAAGCAAGGCAGAGGAACATTGAAATAGAGAGTCGCTAGAACTGGGGAAAAAACAAACAAACAAAAACCACACACACAACCCAAAAAACAAGAGGAAATCCCAAACAGAAAACAAAATAGAAAAAGTGAAAAGGTCAAATATAGTATTTCTCTCAGAACAGCTAGCTTTTTTCCAGGTTTTCCTCTCCCTCACATCAGAACAATCATCTTTCTTTCATTCCATTCTCATAGAGCTTATTCTATAGAACTAGTCATTCCTCTGAATCGTAGCATATGCACCATATTAAAGATTAACCATAGTTGTGTTTGGTTTGCTTTTTTCATGAAGTGAACACTGTATCAAACAGTACTGTGCTGCAGACTGGTGAGCAGCAGGAAAGTCTAGGAGAGAACAGAGGTAACCACCACTGGGGGCAAGACAACTTGGCAAGCAGAGGAACTATTCAACTGAAAAGGAAGTGCACTACCCACCCTCTTTGGGGAGGAAAGAGGCTGAGAATTGCACTCCATTATTTACAGATGTGAGCAGCAAATCAACTCAAGTCAAAATACCACTATAAATCCACGAATAAATACTGATACCAGCCGTACTATACGGAACCTAAAGAAAAAAAAATTAATGTTTTCCCTTGTGAAGACAAAGTATTTGCTTCTGGGAAAGTGGAAAACCTTCATAACATGCATCCTAAAAGCCTTTCAAGTCAAGTCCCTGCTGGGTAGCTATTTTATCTAAAATCCTTTCATAGATCAGTAAAATAAAATGCCAACACCAGTCACTAGCTCGCACATTGAGAAACAGAACTTTTTGCTTTGAAAATAATCCTTAGTCTTGCCTGGTAAAGTTTCCAGAGCTTAAGAGACCATCCACTCCAGGATCCATTCCTGTTCTCACTGGAGTCAATGATATCCAAGCCTTAAGAGCCAGGGCTGTCCCTAAGACTAAATGGCACATGCCTTCTCCTGGCTGCTCTCTGATCAAACCAGACCATATCCATGGTTCTCCTGCCTTAATTCTTGATTTCTCTCTTCTCACTGCAGGTCTGTGCTCTTCCTCTCTCTCACCATCCTCCTCTCCCATTTTGTACCACCTAACATGCATGACCGTGTACTCACCAAATCAATTCAGAGTGCTTTCAGTGAGAACGGTCAAACACAATTGACCACTACTAACACCCTCTACTACCAAGGTCTCTATTGGACTTCACATAACTCAATGCAGCAGTACAAGGATTCAGAAGATAGCCCAGGTGTATATCCTAGCTTCATGAAGACTTTGTTGTTTATTTAAACTATCAGTCTATTTACTAATATAGAAAATAAGTTACTTTGAAATTAAACATTAAAATATACACACACACACACATACATATATTTCTCCCATTCTATTCATATCCCCTTTCCCTCCTGCCCCCAAACCTTTGCTTCCCTACTCTTGGACTTTTCCACTCCTTGGCAAAAAACGAGGATCAGATCTTCAGCCTCCTTTTTGCTCCCTGCACCTCTTTTTTAACTTGTTCACATAAAGTTCATTAAGGAGTTCCTTACTCCTTGGCCCCTTGAGCTTTGTCATTATAGAAAATCACAATAGGATTTTTCTAGTAGTACAACTCAGCAGCCGCTGCACAGTTTGTAAGATGTTCCATGCCAACATCGGATCTGTTCTTGTTTGATTTTGGAGAGGGGAAATGTTAGGGTGGGCAAGAGGGAGAAAAAAAGAGAAGGAAAAAAATCATAATACCTCTTGCACTATTGCAATAGCATGTGAGGGGAAGGACAGGAAAGAGAAAGGCTGTGTGGAAAGGAAGGGATCATATCAGATATATCAAACCAATTCACTGTACAACAGCCAGCTGTTGTCTCTAATAAAAGTTTTATGAGGAAATAGTGTCTGTATTAGCCTGTATGTGCCTGGAAATAGAAACTGTAAAACGGGACCCCAACTTATACTACTAGGTGGTTGTGAGATTCTTTAATCTAATGTTGCTAGCAAACTTTAACTCATGGAACACGCCTTGAGCGCACAGTATTCAGAAAGAAAAAACAATAACCTAAAATAAAAAACGGGTCCCTCTACTGTCACAGAGAGAGTACTCCTTGTGCTGCAGGCTGAATTTCAAATCATCAGAATGCTATTAGCTATTAAAACATAACAGTCTGCAGGTACTTATACAGTGGTAATGAAAAATAATTCCTGGATTCAAGAAAGAAATGCTGTTTCTACCGGAAGAAGACAGGCAGCAGTGTAAGAGCGGAAAAAAGGTTTTAAGAGAAGGAACAGCAGCAAAATCCTTTTTCCTGGACCCACTGACACCTCCCAGTTTTGTATGGGTAAAGCCAGCTGCACATTTCATATTTGTCTTCCAATACGCAAAACGGTGGCTTCCTATTGCCCGTCTCTCACTCTGAAGAGGGCCTGCTCACAGGAGGATGCCAGCTCAAGAACGACAAGGGAAAGTGGGCTCTCAAACACCACAACAAGCACAAGAGGACAAGCTAGTTTTGTCCCTTCAACTCCCTGCAGTCAATCAGAATCAGTCAAACCCAAGAAACAGGTCATTTATTACTGTCAAAAACTAAGGCCTACAAGGGCTGTCTAATAACACAGATCATCACAGAGCCCCCATCTTTCAGCAGCTTTAATGTAATACTCACATTTCTCAGCAAAGGAAGAACCAGCTGCTCAAAGGAAACAACGTCTACAACATATTGCCCAACCCGACATTCACGTCTTGAAGTAGAAGAATCAGAACTGAATTTTAAAGAGAGACAAACAATTCCCCGTAAGTAACATGAATTTAGTGAGAGTTTACTGCAGTCAATCAAAGTGAATTTACAAAAACTGTTATCCTAGTAAGTCAAATTCCCCTTAATTCTTCTAAGAAAAGAAAATCTACAAACCATACATTAAGTCATACTGCAGATAGCATACTTTTTGATGATAAATATACCATAAGCTACTTTTGTACTAGGTAAGCTTAAATTTGAACATTGTACCAAAGGAAAAAAAGCTATAAGGGAAGTTTACACTGAGATCAAAATACATGCCTGCAGTTCATGCAGGTATATGAGCCAACTTCAAATTAGGTCATGTGACACTGAAAGCAGCATCACTGCAGTAGCCCAGACTCAGCATGCATGCAAAACCTTTAAACAGTCTTGGGAAAATATTTGGACAGTGTGCCTGTGCTGCATCACACTATCCTAACCGAACTCCCTCCACTGGCAGTATGTAAACCAGTCAGTCAGGTCAGCTATGTCTGAATGAGGTGCAAATGCCGCATGTGACAAATCTCTGGACCAGGTTTGGAGGAAGCATGGAAAGCTAACTCAATAGAATCAAGAGTGACTGTGAGCCCCTCTGCACTTTAGACCTCTTAACAGGGCTCTAAACCCCTCATTTGCTTAAAACTCACTTGTGGGATTTGTGGGCCAGACAGTGGCTCATTAAAATAACGTTATATGAAATTTCCCTTGATTTTCAGCTTCTGTTCCCTTACGTTAGCCAAAGGAAACAAATAATTTTCCTCCTAGCATTTTTTTTTTTTTTTAAAGAGAAACAGTTCTGCCTACTACAAGCTACTCACTGTGTCCTAAGAAGACTTGGCTCTTTTTAAGAGCCAAGAGCCTTTATAAGAACAAGGGCTCAGCAGTGCTTCCCGTGTATCATATGTAAAATGAGCAGCAAGGGAGAACGCCCTGGAGCACATTTCCAAAGTTTCAGTGTGCAGCAGAGCAAGTGCCTACACATACAATATAGGTCTCAGCCAGGACAGGAGAACTGTACAAAGAACTTGACCACGAAAGCTGTAAGCGTGCAAGATACTACCTTATGGAGGAACATTTAACTTGCTGACAAACTGGAGGACAAGCCTAGAACAACAAGCCTCTCTCTTATAGCAATTAAACATCAGTACCTGACTCTAGATAAAGGTCCTCGTTTTCCAGACAGAGTGACAACATCAAATCCTGTTCTCCTGCCACCTTCTCGGACTTCCTCTGTGTAAAATCCATCAATGGGGACCCCTGTGGATTTTAGAGCCTGAGTAACTTTCTGGATCAAAGTAGTCTTTCCAACCCCTAAAAATAACGAGGAAGCAAAAAGCATACAATATTAAACTTTTACACTAAAAGCCCGTTTTTAAACACCATGGCAATGATTTAGCAGAAACACAGGTTACTTTCTAAGTCTGCAAATTTTTCTTTAAATGGTAAGAAAGGAAAGAATAAAAGCACCTTTTAAAATACATTTTATACTAACACCATAACAGTTTACTAGCCTTTCAGTATGTCTACAGTGAAGTCACAAGAGAATGGTACAAACATCCCAGGCCAGCACTGAACTCGTTCGCTTAGATAGCGCTGAGCTCTGGGCAGGCCACAAAGCTTGCTGCAGCACAGGTGAGAACAAGAACGATTAGCCTAGCTTAAGAGCCAAGCTGTTATATAACTGATATCCAAGCTAACTGGAAGTTAGACTGATGGGCCTCCCTTTCTATCACAGCTTCACTCCTGTTGAAGAACATAGCTGAATTCATTCCCTTTTTAGATCATTAGGTCAAAACTGACTGCAATTACAATGAGCCTACCTTCCAAAGGCATTAAGCACATTGAACCCCTACTGATGTCCTAGAAATGAAAAGAACTCCATATCCTCAATATAATTAGGTCCTACATGTCAAAAAAATATCTCCAGCAACAGGAACAGGCTTCTAACATATGATAATTGAAACAAGAAACGTTTTGACTAGATATGCGGAAAACCTCATCCACCATGAGGACAATCCAGCACTGGAACAAGTGGCCTAGAGAAGTGGTGCAGTTTCCATACTCAGGGGTTTTCAAGACCAGAGAGGATGAAGCCCTGAGCAACCTGGCCTGACCTCACAGCTGACCCTGCTTTAGCCCTCCTGATGTCCCATCCCGCATGAATTACCCTATGATCCTATAATCCCTTCTCCTACCCTAAGACAGATCCTTAAAGTCCTCCCTATCTGATGCCTCCTTTGGCGTTTGTTTGATGGACCTTCTACTATGTGAATGCTGGCCAGCTTCCAAACACCTCTGTTCCCACAAAGGAGCTATTCCTTTCCTTTGCATTGTACAAGTACATCCCTTAACAATCTCCTTTTAAGCTCAACTTTATCTCCTCTCACAAATTCCAGCGTTATCAATTCATCCATCTCATTCTTGTCCAAAAAAAAAAAAAAGTAACAGCTTCATAAGACAGAAAATATCTTGCAGAATATAGCCTTAAATTCCTGGAGACAAGGAGCATAGGCCAAATGTAAAGGTGCCTAAAGAGGCTGACAGAAATCTTTTTCAAGATGCACGTACCTCATTCCTCTCTCAGGTTTTAAATTGATTTAGGAAGTATTTTCTTAACAGGCAATACCAACAGTAAAGTTTTCTGTGGCTTCAGGGGCATCTAGTCAAACTGTTAAGGTAATTTTTCATAACTGAAGCCAAAGGGATTCTTGGTGTTTGAATAACAATAAAGTGATAAATGTAGCATCGTCACCACCACTACCTACCATCTTTCCAAGGCCTTAAAAAAAAAAAAAAACCCTCTACAAGGGAATTTATACTAATTTAGCTAAGTAGATCTGAGATCTCTAATTTGGTTACCTTCATTCCATCCACGGCCAAAATAAGGTAAAGTGATTCAAACGAAGCGTAAGAAGGCTTAAAATTGAACACATACCTAATTAAAACGGTGCATTCAATTTCAGTTAAACCGAACACAGAGGAGGCCTAAGCAGGCCTAACCCCTACGCTCCCCAGACAACCGCCTTCTTCTTTTTTCCCAAGTGGATGCAAAAAAAGAGGCGAGCAACACGCACGTGTAACACACTACTACACGAACCTAGGAGCATTTTAAGTTAATTCCAGACAAGATAAATAGCTGCAGAAGGTTCACAAAAAGGAGAATTAGGCCCCTTGCCTTATTTCCAGGGCTCGACAGCAAGCTCTGCCATCACAACAGCTGGTTTATTTATTAACCTCACAGCTCGACGCTATAACCTACGCGATCTCCACAGCAGTGGGATTTGTCCTGCTGTGACAAACCACCCTCTCCCACCAGTCCGAAGCCTGCCCGCCCGGGACACCCCGTAACTGTGCGCTATTTAGGTGGGAAGCGCCAAATCACTAGCGTTAAGGTAGAGAAAGGATGAGCGCTAAGACAATTACTAATGACCGCGGTTTAACCGAAGGGGGATTAGTCATCCGGGAACTTTTCCCGCTGCAGGGCAGGACGCAGGGACAAAGCGGCAGCACCTGGAAACGTGTACGACACGGCATTAAACCAGGACCAGAAACGG